ATAAATAAATAAATAAAAGTTTTGAGGTGGAAGGCGGGACTTTGGGTCCAGCAGAGCCTGAACATTTTGTACTGGAACCAGTTTATTTCTGTAAAAACTGTTTGTTTCAGTCTTACCTGCAGCCAGAGCTGCCAAACATCCCAGCAGAGACAAGAAGACCCTCATGTTGTCGCACTGCGGYAACCAAACTGAACAAAAACAAAACTAAACCTTTGATTTGTTTATGTGAAAAATGTTTTTAAACATGATTTAAATAAAGTTTCAGGATAAAGAATTAAAATAAGAATCTTCTCACCTGCTGGAAGAAACTGAGTCTGAGAGAAGATCTGAGCTGCTGCAGGCCGGGGCCGGATCTGAGACCCCCAGAACCACGTCTGGGTTTTATACCAGAGGAGAGGAGGGGGCGGAGTTCAGAACCAGAACTGTTTGTGTCAGTCTGGACTCGGATCAGAACCAGAACTGTTTGTGTCAGTCTGGACTCGGATCAGAACCTGAACCGTTTGTGTCGGTCTGGACTCGGATCAGAACCAGAACAGTTTGTGTCGGTCTGGACTTTGAGCTCAAACAGAAGCCGATGGGAGCGTGGGTGTTTGTGCTCTGAAAACAAGAAGCTAAACCTCAGCTAAAAGCTAAAGCTATCACAAACTACAAGCTAAATGTGTCAAAACAGTAGCTAAATTAGCAGGACAGTAGCTAAAAGCTAAAACCAAACAAAAAGCCAAATATTTAGCTTAAAGATAAAATTAGCACAACCTTGGGTGACAACCAAATGTAGCAAAACCATAGCTAAAAGCTAAAATAAGCTAAAATATACTAACATTTAGCTAAAAGCTAACACATACTTAAAAGCTAAATTTATCAAAGTAAAAACTATAATCTAAAACATTAAAGGCAAAAGTTAAAATTAGTAAAACATTAGCTATAAACTGAATGTAGCAGAAGCATAGCTAAAACATTTAATTAGCAAGGCAGTAGCTAAAAGCTGAAAGGCGCTAAATAAAATGAAAACAAATGTGTTTTGGCAGGAAGTAGAAGAATACACGCGAGTCTGAATGCTGACTCAGCATTTCTTATAAACAAAACAGCTGCAGTTCAGTTTTAGCTACAGCAAACCGAAGACTGACGACGTTCGGCTGTTTTATTTTGAAGGAGCAGATGTTTTGATGTAACTTCAGCTCAGTTTTCACGTTTGTAAAGTTATGCAACAGGAGGGAGGGAGGGGTCCGGGGGTCCGGAGGCATCGACGCCACAAACCCACAGATGGATTTTAGTCCCAGAGTCTCAGAGGAAGAGACCTCCCCCCACCCCACCCCGAGCGTAAATTTAGCCTCTGAGTAAAAGTCAGAAACAAAAACAGAACATTTAGCTGAAAAACTACAATCAGCCGAAGGTCCGGACTCATCAGTCTTCGGCTCCTGCAGCTTTAAAAACTGATTTATTTACTAAGAGTCTTAAAAACAGGCAGTGATTTCATTTCTGAGACAAAAACTTTGTGTCAGCCTGAAGGGCCAGACGGGCCCGGGGGGCTTCGGCTGAGGGGCCGAGACCAGCCGAAGCGTCTGGATAAATACGGCTTTAAGAGGGACTCGCTGCTCCCCCCCCGAATCCTAATGAAGTCGTCTTTTGTGTTTGTGAGCTGAACGGAGCCAAGTCCGTGGCTGGCAGCGGCCCGGAGGGGGCCGTCAGGCTCTGGAAACCACCGAACCCACAAAAGACAAACCTCTGAGTGACAAACCGGTGTCCTGAGAAAGGATGGAGAGGGCCGAGGACCCCGAGGACCCGAGGGGGGGCCGTTTAAAAACTGGAGTCTGGAAACTAAAACCAACACGTCCATCAGGACCTCAGGGGTCGACAAGAATCTGTGAAATAARCAAACGTCATAAAAAGCCCCGAAAGGAAGGAGTTAAACGTGTTTAAAGCCGTCCCACCGACTCAAAAACATGTTTTTCTCCTCCTTTGTGGCGTGGCCTCTTTGTTCGGGGAACATTCCCTCGACTCACAGGGGGTCTTTGCTGTTCTTTCTGCCCCAACACGGAGGTTGAGAGAGGTGACGGCTGGTAAACACAGACCCAAGCCGAGTCCGTTTAATTGGCAGAGGCAGGCGGACCGGGCCAAAAACTGGGGCCAAAGGCTCGAAAGTGTCGGCTCGTGTGAGGATCAGCTGGAGGGCTTCGGCTGTGGGTTCTGGAACCAGATCTACACGACGTTATCAGCCTCCCTTCAAAAGTTTTAACAAAAACGTTGACATAACCGTGAAGCTCCACCAGGTGGCYACGATGTCCACAGGTGTGTTCTGGAGGAGCAGGTTTTAGAGGCTCTGAAACACCTGTTTAATGTTTAATTACCTCTTCAGGTTCTGCAGCTTTAATCATCCAATCATCCAAACCAGCTGTGGCTGATGCTGGACGGCGTCCCTCAAGGACCAGAGTTCAACACCTTATGGTTTCTCTGCTKAACTGATTTGAATAAAAGGGTCATCTATGGGTTTCTGCAGAACTTGAAGAGGTAACTTCATCACTGAATCAGGTGTGTTGGAACAAAGAAGTCAAACTGAAGGACGGTGGCCCTTTGGGACCAGGACTGGACACATCAGGGCCCGTTTTTATCTTAGAGAGCAGTTTTAGACTCGAGTGTTGAAACGTTCTTAGATTTGCTCCTCCTCTCAGACTGAAGGGCTCGACACACGGGAGGCGACGTCGCTCGCTCATTTCCTGTGGAGCTTGTGCGATGAGGCGACAATCGTGCACGTGAAACTTTGCGCTCATAGACGTAGACGCGAGCTTGTGACACAACGTGGCTGCCTGATAGGTCTCAGAAAATTTGTTTTTAGCATGTAGCATTTCYCTAAACTGATGACAGAATTCACTGGATTTCAGTCTTTCATCACCTCACCTCCATTAGTTTTACCTTTAATATTTCAGTATTTCTGTAACTCCCATTGACGTACATTACATTCTCAACAAAACCAGATTTTTAATTTGGGTCTTTACGGACATATGTAAAATTTAGACAATTGTTTTGTCCCCCCAATAGACGTTCAGTTTCCCCAGTTTTTAATCACTAACTTATAATTTAAATTATATAAACTGAGTCAATGTGAGAAGAAAAGAAAACCTTAAAAACCCCAGATTCAAACAATATGCGAATCGTTTAATATCTTGACTTTTATTCGGGTCATTATTACATGTTCTGCTCAAACTTTTCGTCCTCAAACGAAGAACTTGGACGGTTACAGCTGGTGGACGAGACAACAGATCATTCCCATCAAGACTCAGAACCACAGAGAAAACAAAAACGCAGGGACCCGGACACGACGCCCTGCGGAACGCCGTGGAACACGATCCACAGAGAAACAAAGGTTAAAATATTAAAATCTTCATATAAAAACTCTTAGTAAAATAAAGCACAGCCTTATGTAAATAACTACAGTGCATAAAAAGGCATGCAGTCGACAGGAAATGACTTCTTCTTCTGTTATTATTGAAGGTGTTGCTTTAAAGAGCAGCCTCTCAGCGCTGCGACATGCCATCCGTTTAAAACACGACACCAAAGAGAAACTAAATAAACTTAAAGACAAAATGAGCCTCGTCGTTTTCTTTAATGTCATGCTATCACTTTCAAAATATTGCTAAGAGACGATGCGATGCCTCGACACAAAGATTCTAATAAAAACGTGAAATAATTACAGTTCGATTAAAAAAACAAAACGTTTATTAAAACCTGTTAAATTAAGATCTATTGCTACGGTCAAATAAAAAGTGACAGTCTGCGTATAAAACGTTCCAGATCAAGTCCAGTTCTTGCAGTCGGGACAAACGGGCAGTTTTCAGGGCAGCCCGTGTTCTTGAAGGTGACCTSTACAGGACCTCTTTATGTCTCTGGTTCAGGAGGAACCAGAACCCAAACCTGGGACGGGACCTACAGAGTAAAGACAAACAATCCTCGTCTCGTTTCTGCCGCTCGAAGGCACCTAAAGGCTTCCAGCTGAACAGGAAGTCACAAAAACGGATCTGGACCTGGATCTGCTACCAACAGTTCTGTGAGAATATGGGTCTCTCAAAGGTTGAGCATGAAGAATAGTTCAGAGTCCGGGCCAGAAGGGGACAGGGACTGGTGGGGCGTCAGCTGGTCCGGAGAGTCCAGGCTGCTGCAGGCCACGGAGCACGCCCCCTCGGGGTTCCCCCGCTCCTCGATGGGGCTGCTGAAGCTGGCGCTGCGGCCCTGGACCAGACCCTGCAGCCTCTGCCTCTCCTGGGCCTTCCTGGCCCGGTTTGCGATGTACCGGACCCTGCTCTGGCTCCTGGAGGAGGTCCTGCGCACCAGGGTCTCGTCGGGGCTGTCCTCGGGGGGGTCTTTGGGTGGTCTGTTTTCAGGGGAGAAGTCTCCGGGGTTCAGGGGCTCCACGTCGGTCAGGCGGCGCAGCTGCTCCGTCAGGTCGCTCTGAGGTCTGGGTCTGAGRGGGCCGGCCTTACGGAGCTGGTCTCTGCTGGACCGGACCATGAAGCTGCGGCTGATGCTGCGGTACTTGCTGTCGAAGTTGCAGGAGATGTCGTCGGAGGTCAGATCCCCCAGGCTCTTGGACATTGAAGACGTGGCGGGGGCGGGGGGCGGTCTCCTGGTCGACGCCTGCTTCAGCCCCTCCAGGTAGAGGCGGCACCAGGTGTGCCTCCTCCGACTCAGAGAGTCCTCCTGGTCTGACTGCAGGGGGCGGGGCTTCAGCTCGTCCACAGAGCGGGTGCTCTGCTCCAGGTTGGGGTTGGACTTGCTCTTGCTGACCCGCGTGGCGTCGCAGGAGCCCAGCGCTGAGCGGCGGCAGGCGACCCAGGGGGGCTCGCGGCAGGAGCCTGGACCGGGTCCGGGGCTCTTCCCGGCCAGGTTGGGGAGGGACAGGTCGATGACCGTGTCGTTGGAGGAGACGCTGGAGGACGAGGACATGCTGTCCCTGTGGCTGCCCGGCTCCAGCTTCCTCCAGATGCGGTCGTTCATGGTGGCGTCCGTGCAGAGCTCCGGGACCGCCGACGGACCGGGGGCTCCGCCGGCTCCAACAGAACCGTGGCTTTTTGCTGGTCTGACTGGTAAATCCGCTGGGGTAAAAAGTGCTCTCCTGGCCGGTGGTGGCTGAGCTGACGGGACTTTGGGGGCTTCGACGGACGCCGCTCTGTGTGGCGACTTCGTTTCAGTCGCTTCACGTTTGTTTTCCATCACAGTTTCTTGGTTCGTCGTGTGATTTTTCTCTAAAGACCTGTTTGTCGGGGCGTCCTGCGAGTCTGGGGATGATGGCGTGGTGGAAAAGTCCGAGGGTTTGAGTTCTGCGATCACGTTGGTGTGAACAGTTGAAGGAGCGGTAGCTGCTGACAGGGGATGCAGAGGTGTGGAGACAGATTGATGTGAGGACAGTTCCTCCTCTGGAGTGGAGGCTGAGCGCAGTGAACAGCTGCTGTCGTCGTCTTCAGCCTGATGTGCAGGAAACTGAGGGGCGGCTGCTTTCTGCACTGTACACCCATCTGCACAAACAATAAAACATTATTAAACATCGTGTTTCACAACAACTCAACTTCCTCTGCTTTTAAAATTCAGTCCAACTAGCTAACGGTAATAATAATGGCTCAGGAGCTAATGCTAACCATAGTAACGAGAGAGCTAACTGTAATAATATTAGCTCAGGGTCTAACAGTAATATTAGCTCAGGAGCTAATGCTAACAATAACAACTAGGAATAATGCTAATAATAGCTGAGGAGCTAATGCTAACTAGAACTAGAGAGCTAACAGTAATAATATGAGCTCAGGAGCTAATGCTAACAATAATAACTAGAGAGCTAACTGTATTATTAGCTCAGGAGCTAACAGTAATAATAATAGCTCAGGAACTAACGCTAACAATAACAACTAGGAAGCTAATGCCAATAATAATAGCTCAGGAGCTAACAGTTATAATAATAAGGCTAAAATAGTAGCGGTTTTAGTCTAAACTTGATAATCTGGTTCAGTGCGATGTCTCTCAACACTGTCAGGAGATCTGTAATCTGTTAGRGCTGAGATTATGTGTTGAGGACTCTCAGCTACTAGCACCCCAGGTTCTACCTCAGTGATTTTTCTGAAGTTTCTGAGCTTCAACTTTCACAGAGAAATAAAAACGTTCAGCTGCATCGATAAACAGACTGAATGGACAATCTGTACAGTGAAGACATTTTGTGCAGGAAATGATTTGTCCCCCCCCCACCAGTGACGTGGACAGACAGGTGGACATGATGGGAACCCTGTGGTGGACAGGTCAAAGGTCACATGCGTTCAGAGAGTTTACCTGGTTCTGGTCATCCCCTCAGTTCTGCACTAGGAACAGACAGAGAGACAGCGTGCAAAAAGGGACAGAGAGGAAAACCAAGTTATCCAAACAGGAAGGAGGAGGAGGGAAAACAGGAAGTAGTTTCTACCACAGAAAGCAATTCATCCAGCCAGGTTTGAATGTTTAATAAAACACAGAAACTAGGAGGTAAATCTGGACAGATTAACAAGGACAGAGTTCCTGTCCATTCTCTCCGGTTTGGATCTTAAAGATGGACACCAACTGTAGGAGGAACAGCTGGGGTCCAAACAACTGAAAACATCACGAGGGCCCGACGGACGCAGAGTTTTCACAGACTCTCAGGGCTCGGCCAGGTGTTGCCAAACATCTCGCAAATCCAAGGATTATTTGTTGCCCTCCTCGAAGCACGGAGAGAAAAACCTGGGAATGAGCTCGACCCAACGGTTCTCAGGAGGTTCTGTCAGCCAGCTAACGAGACAACGCTGATTTTTACTGAGGTTTTATTTGGCTCAGGATGAATTTAACCATCTGAACTCTGCTGGAGTTAATTACCGTATTTATTAGTGTACAATGCCACAAATAAGAATCTTTAAAGTTGTACTGCCACAATAAATTTAAATATTTTCTGGTAGATAAGTAAAACATTGAGTCGGAGGATAAATCATTTCTGCAGCTCATCGATCTCTAACAGCTACAGTTAGTTCAAGAAATGCTAAGTAGTTATCTGGTGTTTTTTTTATTTATTTACTTACAGGCTGTTATTAAAAAGTGATTTAACTAGCCCCAGCTTAAAATGGTCTGATCAGTGTTAAACTTCCTGTTGGGTTTTTTGTTTGTTTTGGTCGTTTTATTTTCTGTTTTTAAATAAATWAAAAAAACGAACCATCAACAAGTTAACAGACCAAGTGAAAGGAAGAAAAACTAGCTAAAGGCCCTGTCACTAGTAATTTATGCCAACTTATTAAAAATATGTCCAACAATAAAGATGTCTAAGCTGAAGATGTAATTGAAATCTTCTGGAAGCCTCTTTTGGACCTTTACATACTGTAAGACCAACATTTAGATTGAATATATAACTGATGAGTAAAAAACAACAAAATTTCTATAATCCTGAAGTCCGTCTGGATTAAACGCAGCATTTACCTGAATAAATACGGTAATTGTTGTATTATATTCTGTTATTGTTAGCGATGGTTGAAAACTTACCACTGCTAAACATCTGGGCGGGACCAGGAGAGTTTGAGGAAGAGAGAAAACTTCATCTGTTAAACTGAAAATGTTCCAGAGGAATCCACAAAAACTGTCCTAATTTAGATCAGGGACCTGAAGGGCGGAGCTGGGTCCTAACCAGAGGGGCGGGGCTGGGTCCTAACCAGAGGGGCGGGGCTGGGTCCTAACCGAAGGGGTGGAGCTGGGTGGGTCCTAACCGAAGGGGGCGGGGCTAGGTTCATAACTGGGCGGAGCTAGGGTCCTAACAAGAGAGGGTGGAGCTGGGATCCTAACCTCAGGGGGCGGAGCTGGGTCGTAACCAGAGGGGGCGGGGCTGGGTCCTAACCAGAGGGGGCGGAGCTAGGGTCCTAACTAGAGGGGGCCAGAGCTGGGGTCCTAACCTCAGGGGGCCAGAGCTGGGGTCCTAACCTCAGGGGGCCAGAGCTGGGGTCCTAACCTCAGGGGGCCAGAGCTGGGGTCTTAACCAGAGGGGGCCGGAGCTAGGGTCATAACTGGTTGGGTGGAGTTAGGGTCCTAACCTGAGGGGAAGACTGAGGGCAGAGCTAGGATCCTAACGTCAGGGGGCGGTGCTAGGTTCATAACTGGTTGGGCGGAGCTAGGGTCCTAACTAGAGGGGGCGGAGTTAGGGTCCTAACCAGGGGGGTGGAGCTGGGGTCCTAACCTCAGGGGGGGCGGAGCTGGGGTCCTAACCAGAGGGGGCGGAGCCGGGGTCATAACTGGTTGGGCAGAGCTAGGATCCTAACCTCAGGGGGTGGAGCTGAGTCCTAACCAGAGGGGGCGGAGCTGGATCCTAACCAGAGGGGGCGGAGCTGGATCCTAACCAGAGGGGGCGGTGCTAGGTTCATAACTGGTTGGGCGGAGCTAGGGTCCTAACTATGGGGGTGGGGCTGGGGTCCCACCGGGGCAGCGCTGGGGTCCTAACCATGGGGTGGAGCTGGCTACTACTCTGAGGCGAACACTGAGGGCGGAGCTACACTGAGGCTGAACTACAGCTAGCTCGTCTTACCGGCAAAGAACAGGGGGGACTTGTGGTGCAGCTCCTCCATTTTCAGGGCGAACAGGGCGTTCATCTCGCGCTGCAGCGTGCCCACCGCCCTCTTGCGCCCGTCCAGGACGGAGCGCGGCGGCAGCACCGGCGGCGTCTCCAGGCTGCTCAGGCTGCCGAAGCTGTCGCAGCTYCTGCTGTCGCTGAGCAGGAGGGCGCCGCCCGGCTTCGGGCCGGGGAAAGGCGCCGCGCTATAGACGGCGCCGTAGTTTGGGGGCGTGACTTGCTGCCAGCACAGGTTGGTCCCGCAGTCCGGGGCCACATATGGCGCCGGAGTGACGGTGTTGGGGGAGCGTCTGCGGGGGACGCTGCAGGATCGGGCACCGCCCCCCTGCGAGGTTTGGGGGCGGGGCCGTAAATGTTGGGGACCCAGAGTTTGTCGGGCTTTGGTTCTGGGGAAAGGAACGGGTCGGAGGACAGCCTGAGGAGAGAATTGGAACTGGGCCTCCATAGAGGATTTGGGTTTAGGAGGTGGATCCGAGTCCAGCTGAAGCTCGGCAGCCGGTTCTGGTTCTGCTCGGTTTTTGGCTGAGGAGGAACGTTTGCTTCTCTTCTGTCCGGACCCGGGCTCTGAGGTCTCCAGGACCCGGCCCTTTCTCTCGGACTCGGGGCTTTCCTTGGAGCCGAGCACGCAGGTGATGCAGTTGGAGGACACGCCCACCCTGCCCGAGCCGCTGAGCGCCACGCGGGCGAACACCCCCGCCTTGGAGTCCAGCGGGTCGTGGAAACAGAGACGGCTGGCCCGTTTTAGTGGCTCGCTCATGGGGCGCCGCCGATCGAAGGTCGAGCTCTTACCTTTCCCCTCCTCCGGGTGAAAAGCTCCGTTGGTCGCCAGCGAGTCCCCGTTGGGGTGCTGCGGCGCGGCGGCYGCCCGGTCCCGGTCCTCGGACTCCCGCTCCTCGCTGGCGCCCTCCGAGCTGTAGTCTTTGGCGTCGATGGCGATCTCCGGGAAGCCCTTCTTGGGTTTGGGCTGGCCTCTGGTGGGCGCGCTGGCGGTGCGGCGCAGGAGGTGGGCGCCGAACGGGTGCTTACGGGCGTGGTGCACCGCAGCAGCAGCATGGCTGTCCAGAGACGCCTGCTTTGGGTTTCTGTGGAACAGCCCTTTGATTCCGCCGGCCGCTTTGGCCTGAAAACAACAAAAACAAACAACAAAAACAGGTTTTACAGAAAATAACGTCACTCAGAAAGGGGCCACGGTGAACCAAAACAAACAGTTTCTGCCCGGTGAACATGCTCCTGTTTTAACGGTTTCCTGAAGAAACATCTGAATGATTTAACGCCCATCATTCAGCAGCAGAACATGCTGGTCCGCTTTGAATTCCTGCTGGATTCAAAGTGTTGGACCGAGGATCCACAGCTGTCTCTGGATGAACGACGTTAGTGAGGAAATAAATCACATGCTTCAAGTTTCAACAGCATCCAGACCTTTTCTTTGTTAAAAACAAGAGTTTCAGTTCTGTTGTTTTAAAACTAAATTAACCCTTAAAGAAAACAGGAACTTTAAGATTTTTCTTCTATTTGATACCGAGTTTACGAAACAAGAACCAACATTAAACATGTTTTATTTCCTGTTTTTTGTTAATTCAACAACAAAACGATGACATCATCTACATTATTTCAGAAAGATCTCAGAACGTTTTCAGAATCCTGATTTTTAAACGACATTTTGATCCTGAGATCATGATCAGTTCTCCACAGATACGACTCAATTTGTCTTGTTAATATTTAGCTCCAATCCTGTTTTAGTTCATTCTAATAAATTAATATTTTACATCATTTTAAAAGAGGAAACTTCAAACAATTTGGATATTAAAATTTACCAGCTGGAAACAAAAAAATTGCTGGATTGCAAGATTTTTTTTTTCACAAAACTTAAGGATTTCTGCTCAAAAATTAGCTGCTTCTTTGAAGAAGATTATATTTCAGATGCTTTAAGTGACTCATAAATAAGGTATTTATTCATTCAGATTTCATATTTATTAATTCTTGATGTGATCGACGGTTACATTAACAGAATAAATAAACTTTATTGTCTCWCTGTAAGTTTGTTTTAATGTAGCTTTAGTTTGAACCGTTCGTCATTTTGGCTCCATTTTTTTATTTTATTTTTTCGTTTTTATCACAGCTCAGGATGATTTAATTACTTTAAGTTGCACAAAGTGACCAAAGTTTCTCCTCAGCTCCAGGAGTGAGATCATGAGAACATGACTTCAGAAGATTTAACACTTAAATAAAACCATCTGGTTGTAGCAGCTGCTGCTGCTTCATCCTTCTGTTTTAGTAACTGATTCACTACTAATTATTCAACCAGTTTAAAATTTCATTTTACAGCTTGAAGAGCCGCCTGTACGCTTCTTATTTAATCAACTGGAGCGCTTGTTAGACTCAATAATAATAACAATAACAACAATTATTATCATCATCATCATCGTCGTTACTATCATTATAGTTATTTTTATCATTATCATCATTATCGTTGTTATTCAATTTTATTTTATTTTTTAATCTGAACATTTTCTGGCTGAAGCCTCTACGGTTTTCTGTTGTTGGGACAAAATTTACAGAAACTAAACAAGGAAGAAAAAAAAACTAAAAATCTGTCGGACCTCGAGTCGCTCTGACTCACATGAAGGAAATGTTTTCGGACAGTTCAGAGACTTTTATTGTGAAAGTCGTTCATTAATCGCCAACAAAAGCAGCTCAGAGAGAAAATACATTTAGATCCACGACTTCCTGAAGAACRGGAGAGTAAACCAGGTTCTAGATCTACTAAAATAAAATAAAATGCTACAGAATAAAACAGCTGATCTGTTAAAACTACAACCAGAATCAAAGGTTTGGATTTTAGCTACTGGATCCTAATTTACAACCTGGTTCCTCTGGTTAAAAACTCAAGCAGGACGTCAGGGATGCTTGCATTTTCTAGATTTTTAAAAAGGTAAAAATCCAAACAGAGACAGAACTTAGAAAATTCCTGGATTATCAAATAAAAACACTTGACAAATGAAAAAACACCCACACATTTAAGACAAAATGATTTTTTTAATACAAAGTAAAATGAGAGAAGTAGATCCAAACAGTCCAGCTGCTGAGAGACTAAAAGATCAATGAAACTAAAAGTCACTAATTGAAACTCAGGTTGAATTCAATTTGAATTTTTCTGCCTAATTTGTCTAAAAAGATTTTAAAAAGGTGCTTAATATTTTTTTCAGTACAGTTCATAAAGATTTACAGGGTTCCTACAGCAGCAAAATGTTTARTTTAAAACAAAACGAGCTGCGAGAGGCATTCGGTCAATTAGTTACAATCATCSTATATTTAAATACTTTTTAAGGATTCTGATTGATTAAAGACAATTCTTACTTKATTTCTTCCAGACTTCTTTTAACGTCTGTAATGATGGTGTTACTGCCACTTACAGGTCAGAACTGGTATTACACCTGTAATTACTGCATTTGTTTAAACTGAGTGGGACTATTTGTCCAAATTAGAAACAAATGTATCCAGAGCTGTGTCATCAAGGGTTAAAAGTCACTCCTTCCTGTCAGGTTTCAAGGATTAATTAATCCAGATTAATGATGTTATTGGATCTACTTGGTTTCATGTGGATTCAGGTCAAGTCTTTATAACTCATGTGGGTCATGAGTTGGCCTGACGGTGCTCCGGTGTGTGTGGGGGCGGGCAGGTTATTAAAGGTGTGTGTGTGGGGAGGGGGGGTGCGGCTCATGCAGGATCTCACTACACCTGAGTTCTGAGCGGCGGCTTCGAGGCTCCTAAAACTTTCCTGCCACTAAGTCGAGCGTTTGGTAAAAGACGAGTCCACTGAAATCACAAACAGACAGGAAGAGAGAAACTCAGGATGAAAGAGGGAACAGAAGAAAAAAAAAGAGGGCCGGTCACGACAGGAAGCGCAGAAAAGGAAGTTCAAAGAAAGTGAAGAACAAAGCGGTCGTTTGACGGAGCTGCTGCAGACAGAAAACTGAAAAACAAGAGCGCTCTTCGGAGTTTGAAACAAAACTTTTCAACTTTTTGTTGTTTCAGTTGAAATTCTTTGGATTTATTGACGAATTTACAAACAGGATGTAAAAAAGAAACAAAAATAACATTTTTTAAAACGAATCCTCAGTGAATTATTCTCCAAATGATGAAATAAAGTTCATCAAAAACAAATTAGTAGTTCAGACGTTTCAAATAACGAATATCTTACCTGCTGCAGATGGTTTGATTTAAACTCACTTTGGGGGTTTTATTTTGACAGAACTGATGAGATCTGTGAGTCACATGACTCACCTCCTCCTAACCACATCCTTATCTCACTCGCCTCTGTCTCAGACCTCTGGGTAACATCCGGTGTGCCCCAGGGCTCCATCCTGGGGCCCCTCCCCTTCATCATTWATCTCCTCCTCATTGGATACTTTTTCATAAATACAACGTTCGCTTCCATTGCTACCTGGATGACAAACAGCTCTACCTTCCCAATAAACCCAATGTTGTCCTCCCACCCTCCTCCCAAATGCCTTAAATCAAATCCTGGTTTTATTCCACTTTTCTTAAAATAAACGATAAAACTGAATTCATACTCATTGGTACAAAACCTAGATTTTAGTTTTCCCCTCAGATTAAGAGTCTGGGTGATAAAATGATACATCTCGTGATAGACAGGTGATCCATGTTTGTTTATGAAACTTATGTAGAGAAATAAAAAGTCTTGGTCTTCCAGAAAAAACCCCTTCAAACTTCAACTGGTTTMAGAACTGATCAGCTCACATCACCAGAAGCCCCTCCTCCTACAGCCAAACCCACTGGTTACAGGTCAAACCATCAAATTTCATGACGAAACCTTAAAGACTTGTAAGTCTGAAGGACGACAAACACATTTTAAAAAGACTGAGGGTAAGTCTGACAGCTCTTCCTGTCCCAGAGTACCACCTACCTTACCAGTGATGTCATTCACCGCCACATGAACAAAGATGGACGCCTCCTCCATACCTTCCAGGTACACGTGGCGATAACCTGCAGACGGAAGACGACAAACTCTCAGCTGCACTCGGAAAACCCACAACTCGTGATGTTTTATGTTCGAATGTCAAACAAAGAGTCCTTTTTAACACAAGCTGCTACAAAAACTGAGAACTTTGAGCTTTAATGAATAAACRTTTTTTTCAATAAAATAAAATTTGAACCATCAGGTTTTAGAGTTTTAGAGCAGGAGAGTTCAGTCCTGGTCCAGGTCTTAGAGGTTTCTCTGCCCCAACACTGATCTGAATTAATTAACAGATGATTAAGAGGATTATGCAGAACCTGAAGAGGTGATTRAGTCACTGAATCAGGACCCAGGACTAGGACTGGAACCCCCTGGTTTAGAGCCATGAATCCAAACAGGATCAGGTCTTCAGTCCTACCTGGCATCATGCTACTGAAGGCGATGGTCCGCTGCCCGATGAAGTCCTGGCCGATGGGGTCGTGYTCCCACACGAGGAAACGGACCAGGGCCAGCTCCGGCATGTGGACCGTGAACACCAGAGTCTCCTCCCACATCGGGTTGAACCCTGGGAGCCGGGGCGAGGAAGAGGAGGGTGACCGGAGGGAAGAAAGATGAGGAACGGCTCAGAGATCATCAATAATTCAGGACCGAGTGTGAGACAGACACCGCTAGCTGCTGCCGCTGCACATTTCACAGAGCTGAGCTCATCAGATCRGACACCAGCAGCTCACAAGGTGAGAGTCACACCGAGCCGAAACGACAAACTGAAACAAAACCACCAGATCTGCCCACAAACTACCAGGAGTTTATGACACGGGTTTAATACAAACTACYGAGGTAAACTAGGGCCATAAAGTTTGTTAAAAATAATTACCTGTTTGAAACAGAAATTATGACACAACAGCTTGCCATACTTAGTTAAATATATGATACAATGATCTGCCATATTTGTTGATTTTATACAAGCTGCTATGTATAAATTATTGTACAACAACCAGTCACATTTTAATAACATAACAGTCTGCCATACAATTATGATACAATGACCGGAAAAAAATTATGATGACCTGCCATACTTTAATTATATGATAAAACCACTTGCCAAACTTTTTGATACAACCTGCCACGCTTTAATTCTGATACAGCCTCCAATATTTAATTATGTGATGCAACAAGATGCCATATTTTTTGAATATATGACACAATGTCTTTGAATATTTTGATTATACAATACTTTGGCCTGCCATATTTTTGATCATATAAGAATGACCTGCTATACTTTCGACATTGATACAACAGCCTGCCACATTTTTGTTATTACACAATGGCCTGCCATACTTTAATGACACACTGACCCGCCATCTTCTTTTTGATTATATGATACAACCTGCCATATATCATTATGATACAAAGACCTGCCATATTTTAAATTTATACAACACAATGACCTGCCATACATTTTATGATACAATGGCCTCCAATATTTATAAATTATATGATATAATGGGATGCCACACATAATTTTCCCCAACAATAACGTTTTTAAAAACACCATTTCTTGTAAACGAGACAATGAGTCTGAAGAGATTTTCCTGTATAAATAAAGGATAAAAATAATAAAAATAGTTTAAACAGAGGCGTAAACCTCAGAGCTGTTGCTCCTGACGCACTCACCGTTGTCGTCCACCACTCTGGTCTGCTCTTTGCAGCAGTCCACCGGGAGGCCGATGATCTCCACCTCCACGAACGGGTCGATGATCTGAAACAATCAAACGTGAAGCTTCCTGCTACGCCTGAAATGGGTTTTAACTCTGATTCTGAAAAGGAGCTAAAGGCACAAACACCTTTCTCCTCCCACAGATTTAGAAAATATTTTAATAAAACACAGCTCAAGAATAGAGACCTAAAAACTTTTCATCTTTCATAAATCATTTAATATCTTTCTTAAAGCTTTCAGAGCTCATCAAACTTTCATCAATTGTGATCAAAATGCAAAAAAAAAAACCTCCATTTAAAGTTCATAAAATCACGTTGTCTCCTGAGACAAAGACGTGTCCTCACCTCTCCTCTGTCTCCCAGCATGGAGTCTTTGGGTTTGGGCAGCTGCTGTCCACTGATGATCTTCAGCACCAGCTGCTTCTTCATCCGACCCGGCAGCGGGTCCTCCAGGTTGGGGTTAAAGGCACCTGCGGCAGGTAGAACTGGGATTAACCGGGTTGTAACGATAATTAAACATGACTTTTGGTTTTAAACAGACCTTCACACATGCAGGAGGGCTTCAGGATGTAGCCACAGTTCCCGTTGCTGTAGAACTTGGCTCTGTTGAGCTGAAGGACCCGACCCTCGGACTGGTAGTTCAGCGCCACTGAAACCAAAAGAATCCACGCCGTCAGCAGCAGCGGGAGGCGTTAGAACGGTAAAAACCAAACCGCAGGAAGTTCAGGCACAAACCGAGCTGGCAGCCGGCATTCCAGAAGGGCTGAGGGTTGAAGTTGGACGAGTCCACCCGGTACGAGGACGGGTAGATCCTGGAGAGCTGCCGCTGGTTGAACTGGATGAAGGAGGCCGGTTTCTGCTGCATCAGCTGGTGAGCTTTGGTCTCGCTCAGAGACGACACCTGCCAGCTGCAGGTGGCTGTCAGAGGAAAAAAGAACAAAATTTCATCACCAACTTCAATAAAACCTGTGAGTTTTATTTGTTTTATTGTCAACCAGAGCCTGGGGGTCAGGGAAGTTGGGTTCTCCAGTCTAAATCAGTTCTGTGGATTTGAAAAACACGTTTTCAGAGTCATTTCTTTCAACCTCGCTACTAAAAGTGCATCTGCCCAAACAGAGAGGTAACTTTAAAACTGAAATAAAACTGTTTTAAATGCTGGGTCGTCTAAATCAGTGGTACACAAACTTTAGCCGTTAGCATTGAAGGAGACTGAAATTAGAACTGCAGCAGGTTAGCTGCAGTTAGCATGATTGCAGCAGGTTAGCTGCAGTTAGCATGATTGCAGCAGGTTAGCTGCAGTTTGCAGGATTGCAGCAGGTTAGCTGCAGTTTGCAGGATTGCAGCAGGTTAGCTGCAGTTTGCAGGATT